TCTCTCTCTCTCTCTCTCTTTTTCTCTCTTTCTTTGTTCCTGCCGAATCTGTATTTTCGTATGTGTTCCTCTCTTGCAGATATATCTTTCGTTTCCGTCTATCCTCAATTCTACGAGAGATAGGATACAAATGGCATATTCGGATGCTTTCCACTTTCTCTCTTCCTCTCTGATAATCATTTCCACGTTTCTCTTTTGTTTTCCTTTTTTTTTTTTGGAGCAGGTGAGTGAGAGAGGAGGGCAGGTTCTGTCGCCACCTTTCCCTTCTTTCCTCTTTGGTTTCGATTTTTTTCCGTAGAATTGTGCGCCGTGGACGGACACAATTTTGCTCATCAAAGCTGGCTGTGATAGTCGAACTCTATGACAAACCAACTTTGATGATAAAAGCATGTCCCTGTCGAGGATTCCGTGGGCTCTTCCTTGCCGATATAACGTAGAAATCGTTTCGAGATCTTCTACTTCCTCGTTTGATTTCTAATTAACGACACGGTATTTAAAGCTCGCGCTAGGTATTTTAAGGGAGGGTACTTTAACGATAATAATACTACAATATCTTTAATCTTTATTCGTCGTCCAAGAAGTCTTGGAGCGTCTTGTCAATTTTGGGGTAAAACCATGTTTATCTGACAGATAAGATTAATGCAGATATTTACGAATTGTTACTATTTTAGTTGTATTTACGATTGAAGTGATACGTGCCTATTTATTTTTTGAATACAAAATTGATAGTTGCTCCCCAGATTTTTGGACCGTATATGGCGGACTGAAAATCACAGTGATGTAACAAAGTTTCAAAAGTAAAATGTTCTATTTTTATTAATACAAGGTTGAAGTTCTTCTAATGGTCGTAAATTGTGAATAATTCATATTCTTGATATTTCATCTTACACCATCACAATTCTCAGTCTCCGGTATACGTTCTCAATAAGTTATAAATAAGTACAAATCGAAGCGTGTGACATAAACTGTTCAGAGGCCACACTGATTAATTTCAGAGAAATAATAATGAAATTTACTACATTTCAGAGCTAGTAATATAGTCGTTTGTTCCTTAAGAACAGTTCTGTCCCTTCTTCGTTCGAACATTAATCGTATACCGAAATCCAGAAATTAACAAAAACTGGAATTGATCAGTTTGGCTTCCGAGGGACTCCATACAACGCCATATAAAGAAGAGAGCCGCCATAACGGCTTTTCACCTCGTGGGAAGCCACCAATAATAGTGGCACGCGGCATACCTGAAGGATTCCTGGACTACGGACGGACAAATTGACCAAACTACGCTGTTAAAAATTAAAAGTTCCCGACTGCGAAGTCCATATTTTCTCATCGATAGCCATAGGTCTTTACGTCTTCTTCGTTTATCGGTGAAGAACGTGGTAGTAGAACAGACGCCGGATGAAAGACAAGATAGTGAGACGCGATAGCGTGAGAACATCTCACTACCCATGTCTTTCAGGCGGAATCTGTTCGAAGGAGGGCGCGTAAAAGGTCCAACGGCCATAAACGCGAAGGGCAACATCGATACAACCTGGTACTTATGTGCTGCTAGATCGTCGGTGATACACTTCCTTGCATACGATCGGATCGTCGAGTCGAATGGATCAAGAATGCTAGACCAGTCCCGCCTTGTTCTTCTCCACGCTACCGTACTTTCAATAGGGACACACGTTCACCCCCGGGCAATTCTTTACATACGTATTCTTTAATTAAACGACAGTCGACGACGATCGTGCTACGGTTCGTTTGAATGGGAAAACTGAAATTACGCTGTTGCGCCTGATAGAATGTTAAATAGGAGAGCACGCCGTTTAAAGAAAGAGAGAAGGAATGATTCTGCGTTGGT